AAACGATCCCATAATTTTTGGACTAGGATTCATAATAAAATATGAACACTAGTCTATGGTATAACAATTGGGCCTTTTTGGTTTCTAAATTTTCAATAACACAGGCGGATTTTGTGGCATACTGACCCTTATTTTAGTAGAAACACTAACTTGCATGGAGACCCTATCTTGAATCAAGGAGAACAAGCATGCGACGCGAGGGTGGAAATGGGTTATCAGAGTGTTGTTCATGCGCTAGCAAGAATGACCATGTCGCATCTTATACAAGTCTCACCCTTAGAAAATATGTTAAATATATAGTTTCTATTGGTGAACCAATTTGTTCATGCTTTAGCAAAAGTATTTAACTTTTAATTTGGTATGCCAGTTTGGTCCCCCAAATGTATTTGACATCTTATTCAATAGTAATCTCTTTTTTTTTTTCTTTTTTTTTTTTTTGGTTTTAAATACAAATCTTATAAGTATAACATTTATTCGGAATAGTAGGTCATGTTTATAAATTGATTTGACTTAACAAAATCAAAGAATTTCCCATCACTGAAAGGTAGGCCCAACTGTCCAAGCTTTTCGTGAATCCATGGCCCGCCCTCATTATTTTCAATAGCTTTTTAATTTTTTTTTTTTAATAATATCTTGAGTACCTAAGTAATTTTTCTCTGCAGTTGGAGATTTTGACTACCACTATTTACCCAAAGTCCCACAAGGACTCATCAAGTTCCTAATGGAGTTTAAACTCCTCCTATGCTTTTGCAATATTACGTACCCATCCAATTCAAAAAATTCGATCAACCCGAAATCTAAAATTATATTGGTTATGTATAGTGCAACTCTAAAAAAACAAAATGTACAAAAAGATCTGCATAAAAACAAAAATATAAATCAATGATATAACTTGGATTGGATATGTTTTTAGATATGAAGGTCACGGTACAAAGCATTAACAATAACATACGAATGAGTAACATGCCACTCATGATGATCAGCTAAAAAAATAAACTCTATAGCAATTTAGTGGGCAACTTGATTCGCACATCGTGTAACACAGAACAGAAGTAATACTACGAAAACACTAAGCAACTTTTATTCTTCAAATACAACTCCATATCCACTATAACACAATGTTGTTCTTTTTAACATATTTTCATAGAAAGGTCAAATACAATCTCAAACTTTATCTAAGAAGTCAATTAGGCAATCGAACTTTTGAAAGTTACAATTAGACACATTAACATATTAATTTAGTGCATCAAAACCCAAAACTCTAATAGTGACCTACAATAGCATGTTAATAATGCACTGACAGAGCTCCAACAATATTCAGGCAAGCACGACCCTTTCCGGCAACCAAACGATGGAGATGACGATCAAACAGGTTGCCTTCTCCGTCATTGGAGATGGCGACCAAACTAGTCGCCATCTCCGTTGTTATAAATTCATTTTTATACAAATTCATTATAATATAATACACGATAGGTATAATGTTATGAAAAAAATTTTTATTCAGAAACATAACATTGTTTGGATGTAAATAACAATGTAAATTTGGTCTAGTGTACTAAAAAATGCAGTGAGATAATAGTCAAACTTGTTCATCACCAATAATACTTTCCCAATCCTTTTCACCTAAAAGGGTAATAGAGGGCAAATTATGCTCTGCATCTGTATGCACCATGCATGGTGCATACGGATGCAAAAACGACGTCGTTTTAATAAAACGCGCGTCTCCCCTTAAAAAAAAAAACAGGTTCGATTTTCAGAAACAACATATGAACTAAAATTCTAGAATCGATGAACTATAATTCCATAATCGATGAACTATAATTCCATAATCGATGAACTATAATTCCAGAATCTAATCTATGAACTAAAAATTCCAGAATGAATGAACTAAAATTCCAGAATCTATGAACTAAAATTTTAGAATCGATGAACTACAATTCCATAATCGATGAACTATAATTCCAGAATCAATGAACTATAATTCCATAATCTATGAACTAAAATTCCATAATGAATGAACAACATAATGCTGTTGCTAGGAATCGAACCTGAATTTTTTTTTTTTAAGGGGAGACGCGCGTTTTTAATAAAACGACGTCGTTTTTGCATCCGTATGCACCATGCATGGTGTATACGGATGCACAGCATAACTATTCGTAATAGAGGTGTCATCACATTACATAATAATTCACATTATTATACAAGTTATATTATATGCAATTATGTTTTATTTCATATTTCTTAATGTGTTAACTCATTATATTGGTTTTAAAACATGACTCTTTTATTTATTTGTGTCCATTTTACCTAATCAAAGAATGTCACATAAGTAAAGCATACGTTCTCCATACTACAAATAATATTTTTGTGTAGTATATAGCATTAAAATTTAAAGAAAATATTACAATATTGCATGTAAAAATGTTGTTTACTAAAAATAAAATTGCACCATGTGCAATTTGTTTAGTCAAACATCTCAAATTACAAAATTACTTATATCATTTTTCTATTTTTTTTAAAAAAAAAAATTAAGGTGTCGATTGACACCAATACCTCTTACAGTGGGTACAACTCAAAAAACTTTTGGAGTTGTGTCGAGTACTATGGATGCATTTATCCCTATAATACGTAATAAAATCATGCATGCTTTTATTTTCATTGTACATATTTCCTCTGGTACCAATGTTGATCGACATCATATATTTTCACATATGTATGCACCCTACAAATTTGTATAAATTTTTGAGATTTAAATGTATTATATTGTAGCTATAAACAACAATTCAATAGTTAAAGGAAAATAATAAATGTATTACAATAAAGTAAAACTTATGTTATGTGTATTGATTTTATTGAAAAAAATAAAATTTAATTTGTAACATTTTTTTTTTCTAAATCAATAAATATAAATTTGTCAAAAGAGGAGTAGAAAACTGGAGGTTATCATAGTCAAATGGTTCATGTGTGTTGTTAATGTTTATATGCAAATTCTTTAAGGACAACGCGTTTTTAATGTTTATATGTCATACATATTAGCTGTATACTGACGGTGGGTGGATTCATAATTTGAGTTTTGCCCAATTCTATCTATCTTCATTTAAGTAATATAAAACCTACCTCTCTGCAATGTACTTCAAATAGTTGACTTTAGGTCACTCCAGTCAAGATGGCAAGAGATTTATACTTGTGATGTCGCATTTGTAATCACAAGGTCGCGAATTTAAATCCTTGTCTCTTTGATTTGAGCTGATCAGCTATGAGTAAGCTAAGTTGATTTACTTCTTTGTGGTCCTTTACCAATTAGGTCACAATATGAAGTTTGGATAATATTAATATTTTTAAGTTAATATTTAAAATATGTTTAGATACTCATTTGAATAACATGTATATATATAATTTTTACTTTAATGTCTAATTTCGTATGTGTTAACGGATACTATCCAAAATTGTCAGGTCTAACTACACAACACACTAAGTTGAATGTGATTTTTTCATATTAAAAAAAAAAAAAAAAACAAAAAAAAAAAACAAAACAAAACATTTCATTGTCTCTAAACACATGACCACATATTGCTTTACTAATTACCATCTTCCATTATGGTTGCCAAACCTCTGGTCCAGCAGCCCAATATATTTGATGTCTTTCCGAATCAAACTCGCTTTCTAATAATTGTCCAAGCTGATGTGTGTGTGTGTGTGGGGGGGGGGGGTGTTCTTGCTTTGGCGGCCTAACCCTAACCCATCCTTTTAGGAATCTGAGAGTTATTGAGGTGATAAAGACCTTGTGGAGTTGTTCGCAATAGGTAAGGGGTGAGAACTTAGGGATTGACGGGACGACTCACGATTGATCTCCTTCAAGCTCTAATAACTCTTGGGCAAAATGTTATGGAAACTTAGGGTGTGTTTGGTTCGCACATATGAATCGGAATGAGAATCAAATACTTAATGATAATGAATTTTGGTAAAAGTATTTTTCATGCTTGGTAATAGGATGAAATTGGAATGATTACTAAGCTAATATTGATGTTTGATTATGTATGACCTATAATAGAAATAAAAGTTTTAAAAAGACAAAAGCAAAAAGTTAAGGCAATTGACCATAATATAATGACATCCAAAGCACCAATATGAACAAAAAAAAAATGAAAACAAAAAATATAAAAGCATTAATCTAAATTTAAAAATCATATTATCAATAAAATAGAATAATACTTATCATTTTTAATTAGTGAATGACATTTTTAATTGAATGGGTAATCAACTCCTATAATTGTGTTTTTTAAAATTGTCAACCAAACACTAACTATGATTTTGATTATCATTCCTAATGTGTAAACCCATGAACCAAACATTAACTATGATTTTTATGTAAGTTAGAAAACCTAATGTATCAAAGAAAATCTCCATTACCGCAATAACCAGATTGTGATGAAAAATTGCATTAAATTCAAAATTTTCAGAGAAAATAAGTGAACAAAAATGAATTAATTTGACCAATAAAAGAGGCAAATTTCATAAACAATACTCTATATTTAAAAAAAAAAAAAAAAATCAATGTGAAAATGATTTGAAATGGTTAAAGACAATGAATTAGTTTGATCAATACAAGATATAAAATGGAATTAAAAATACAAAGTACATTATATAAAAATATATAATTTTAAAGAAATAAGGCTTGAATGAGTTTTACACTTTTACTATGGTTTAGAATAGGTATATACTTTTCTTAGTATAATTTGGCTGGTACCAGGGGTAGAGAGGTAAATTCAGCGTCCCGGACGAGGTGTTTAAAAAAATATTGGCCCATGCAGGTCTCGAACCTGCGACCTTCGCGTTATTAGCACGACGCTCTAACCAACTGAGCTAATAGGCCTTTGTGTTTTAATTTGAACAATTTTCATAATACCAAATAAATATTGTGTTGGGCTTTTAAAACGGAATAGTACCGTGACTACCGTCCAATGCTTATAAAAACAATAAGGCCCAATACTTTAGCAGTCTGACAAATTTTTGTTTCCGCCTGATCCATTCGTCGTCTTCCTACTTCCTAAGTTGCATCGATTCGACGATGCATCACTGAGCATTGAGCAGCAACAATACTATCACACTACAAATTTCAAACTCTTTACGCAATTCCCTATTCGCTGTCTTTACTTTCTGAGTTTCTGTTCTGTCAAAAGCCATGAATTCGTCGATCTCACTCCGGGCTCCTCAAAACCAGTTCTTATCCGGTAATGTTTGCTTTCACCACTTTGTAATTTATGCTTCTTCATTTTCTATACTGAACTCTGGATTATTTATTTATTTATTTATTTATTTATTTTCAATCTGATATGCGTCAATGTCTAGTGTCTATGTTTGTGGATGACACTTTCTGTTTAGTTGATATTGTTATTTATTATGAAACAAAAATTGCAGAACATGTTGATCAAGTATTCATGTGTAGTTTCCTTAATAATTTGAGTTTAACTATCGCATTTCTTGTGAATCAAAGGTTTCAGCATGATTTTTTAGTTTTGTGAAATGCTTTTAGAAGGTTGTGTGAATCCTGAGGAAGTATTCATTTATTCAATCAGGTTCAGGATCGTTTATCAGTTTTTTTGATGTGATGCTAGGTACTCGGTTGATGCAAGTGGAACAGTGCCTTAGTTCCAGTAGAGTGGTTTTCATTCCCACCTCCCAGCAGAGAGCAAAACCTTTGAAGTTTAGATCTCTCGCCGTGAAAGCTAGGTATAACTAGAAGTTGCAATGCATTATGCTTTGTGCGCTTGCTTGACTAGATTTTTCAAAATTTAAGTAACATGGTTTTGCTTGGGGAAGATAATCTGCTAGATTTGTGCATAAAGAAGGATATCAATTACCCAATTGCAAGATATGTTATTGAAACTATATGTATTGTTCCCAGTTTTGGTATGGAGTGCATAAGCTGGAAATGCATGAGGTACTCTTTGATAGACACTATTAGGCAACCACATTTTTTCATGCCATAGTAATTTTAAATCCCTGACAGAGGAAGAACAGTAAGCTTTGAGTCTGTGCACATATTATTGATACTAAAAAAAGATAGTATACCACGGAAAATATTTCCTGGGACAGAACTGGGCTGAATATGAATTTTTTTTTTCCTCATGATGTGTTGTGTTTAGAGACTGGTGGTGTATCATTGAAATGTTATTTCTGTATAATATTAGGACCCCCTTTTTGAGATTTTAAGAACTGCTATATTGAAGAGGTAGAAAACAATAAAAATTTGTTCTTGTCCAAGACATTTATATGTTACAAAGGAAACTTTCTTTGTTCTTAGATGTTAAATTTTTTATTATTATTTTTTTTTTCATTTTCTTTTCTTGGCACTATTTGGTTTGTAGCAAGCTGCTTCATTTCCATGTTTTTTCTACTTCTTTGTGGTAACCTGCTTTTAAACGTGGAGCAGTGTTGATGGAGGAAGATCAAATGGTGCAGCCAGTTTCGTAGGTGGTTTTGTGCTTGGTGGGATTATAGCTGGAACACTAGGTTGCATATATGCACCACAGGTAGATGATAAGTATTTATTCTGCTTGTTTTGAATGGAATAGGTTTTCACATAGATCCCCCAAAATCTGAACTATTATTGATTGCATCCCATTTAAGGAATGCCACAACTCATCTTGCTAAAGAGAAGTAAAAGAATCCAATTAATCATGATCATTTAGGTCCTAGGGTTATGCTTGAAATCTTAAGTTAGCATGAATTACCCTCAGGGGTTCAACTGAAAATCTTCAACACTTCTGCAGATTTGTGTCATGTGCAAGCATCATAAAATATGTGTAATACTTGCCTTTTTTTTCAAGATATGTGACGTCTTTCTTTTAAGTATGGAGTAGTTAATGTGCTCATGTTGTTTTAATTATTTTAATATGCATTAAACTTGCTTCCATAGTCATTGTATTCTGGAGGTTTATTGATATTGTGTAGGTTTTTTTTTTTTCCATGTCAGCAATTTGATAAATTATGTCGCACATTGATGCCATATATCCTTGCAGATAAGCAAGGTGCTAGCAAGAGCTGACATTCCTGACAAAAAAGATTTGATGAGAAAGCTGCCAAAGTTTATATATGATGAGGAGAAAACTCTGGAGGTAACAACTATGCACTTGCTTCTAATACCTATTCATATGTAAAGCATCTTGATGTTGAGTTGCCATTTGTTGCAGTCATCTGTCACCTTAAAAAGGCAATATTTGTGTTGATTTTGTGTTTTCCATTATATCTTAATCTGCTTCCAGTAATCCAGTTATTGGTTCTTCAAATTCCAAGTAAAATTATTCATCTACGCAAATACTATTATATTAGTAATTTAGTCTAATAAAGTATAACATCAAGGCAACAAGGAATATTTACATCTTTTACCAACCCTTGTCTTAGTTGTCTATGGAGCATTTACCACAATTTTTTGGTATATCTGAGGCTTGATGGGGGATGGGATATGAACCCAGGTGTATCTACACATTGAACCCCAGTAGTATTTACCACAATAACATAATCGGCATTAAGTATCCTTTGCTTCATCAATTAGATGTGATTTGGGATCTTTATCACCACACCATTATGTGACCTTTGTATAGAATTCTGTGTGTTAGTGGATTACATGGCATATAGTATTCACAGGGTATGTAAGGGGCATTATGACATGACTTTAGTAGTGGAGTAGTGGAGATTGGTTACACTACTGGTAACATAGAAGTGGTTAGTAAGTAATGTTGGTGGAGGGATTGCTTTGCATCTCATTTATAGGTAAAATAAGTAGATGAGATCCAAATCCCAGGAAATTTCATAAAGGTTATTTATGAACAAACCAAGTTACACTCTTCATAATTTGTTGTACTTCTGCTTATTTTTGTTGAAATTACACACTTAGCCTGGACCATTAGATGGAACTGTAACAAAATTATCAAACAGTGTGTCTTGAGAAATTTGGAACCAATTTGGGCAGGTGCTCCCACAATCATTTGTATATAAAGTGCATTCATTTGCCTGGTTTCAGTCAGTAATGACTGTATAAGTTTAGGGGAAAAGTTATTAGTGTCAATTGTAAATCTGAGGTTTGATCCTTGTTACTTTTGATGTGGTTTAGTTTCATTCTAACATGTATATTCTGTCTTGCTGTGAGCAGAGGAGACGGGAAATATTGTCGGCAAAGATAGAACAGCTGAACACTGCTATAGACAATATGTCATCTCAATTTAATACTAATGATGCTCCGAATGGTATCGCAGTTAACCCAGATGAACTAGAAGCTTCCATTTAATTTACAAAATCGATTTGCAGTTGGAAAATCCTGGTTTGTTCTTATTCCTTCTAAACTATTGTATCCCATACCACCCATGTATTAGACTTTCATCATATATTCATAAAAGCTGCTACCAAGCAAATGAGTGTTGAAATAGTTGGATTTTGTTTAACTAGTTACTCAGAGTAGATCTCACTAGTAATTGTTAATCAAATTGAATCTAAATATTTACACTATAAACTTGAATCCAAGTATTTATTAAGTCAAATTTGAACACCATTTATGTCTTTAGGCTCTTGCATTTGATTTGATTTTGTTTTATATATGTTGGAGTTATGCCCTTGGATCAAATTAGCTTGACAAGTTTAGTCAACACAAAATAAGTTTTGCCAATCTAAAACAAGAATGCTATATACTAAGTCAAACTTGAACAACTTTTATGTGTTTAAACTTTAAACTCTTGCATTTGATTTGATTTGTTTTATATATGTTGGAGTTATACTGTTGGATCTAACTAGCCCGGCAAGTTTAGCCAACTCAATATGGAGGTTATACATTGCTGACTTGAATCTAAGTATTTATTTAGTCAAATTTGAACAATATTTACTTGTCTCATTTCTTTTAGGAAAATGCTTCTCGCCCTTACAAAATCCACTCCATTTTTGCAACATCATGGAGTGGCAAAAATATAGTGACTTTTATAGGGGCTTCTAACATAGTTTTTTATTTCATATATGGTGTAGTATATCTTCAGATCTAACTAATCCTAAACATTTAGCCAACCAAAAAAAAAAAAAAAAAAAAAAAAAAAAAAAGATTTGACCCAATGCAATTAAGACAACCTTATTTTGGGTGGCTAGCAACTAGACATTAATACTATTTATTTATCATACCAGTCCTACACTCACACCTAAAAGGGAGGCCAACTTGGAGAACAAACCATTTCACATAATAATCACACACACATATATTACAATAGTTTAAACTGTTAATCTAGACTCTAGATATACAAAAGCAACAAAGGGGGCTTTATGCCTTTATTTAAGCCTTTAATTCCTCTTTTACTTTTACACCACTTTGACCCTCAAATTCATAGAAGATTCTCAATGAGGTTGATTTTGTCAATCTTTTTGAGTGTGTTGTGGGCATTGGACTTCCTTTATTTACTCTCTGGTTGCAATGATTCCCTATCCATTTGTTCATACCATTCTTTTGACTCACAATTTTTAATATTTAGTTTCTTTAGAAGATTCTCAACGACTATGATTGCAGTAGAGCTTCACCCTTACTTTGTTTTTTGGTTTTGGCTTAAATGGCTTTCCTCTTCTTCTTTATCAAGAAAGTAATTAAAGAAAAAGATGGCTACTTAACTTTACCCTCTTTTCCAAAGTGAACTCAAATGCACCAGTTTTGATCACACCCCACACGTGGCTCTGCCTTATGATTTATGAAACAAAGTGAGTAATACTATTAATGTAATGTGGGTCAACCACTTAAATAAGTGAGGCTTCTTGTCTTAACAAAATCAAAACACATAACGGAAATAGGATTTTCTGAGTGTTTTTTGAGCAACTTAGATTGATATTTTGATAGCGCTTTAAAGAAGGCGAGGTTTTACACTAATTGTTTTCTTCAACGAACTCTCATCCCTTCCTTCATTCACCCATGTCCTTATCTTCTTCTTCTTCTTCTTCTTTTTTTTTTTTTTTTTTTTTTTGAAATTTTAATATTTTGGTGAGTAATGTTGTGACATGAGCACATAGGAAGAGGGAAAAGGAGTTCCATATGAAAATTAGTTAGGGTTTAAAGTTGTGACATGAAAACATTGGGGCAAGGGTTTCACCTAATAAAGCTAAAGAAAATGACTTCCATTTGAAAAATGGGAAAGAAGACAAGCAATAAAAGCCCCATGCTTATGACTTAAAGACACAACTGCTTTATCTTTGTGAATAATGTCACCATAACCTTATGCCATATTACTTGTCTTTTTTGTGCTTCTGTAAAACCACACCCCACACTCAACCACTCCCTAATCCTTTTTTTTTTTTTTTTTTTTTTTTTTTTTTTTTTTTTTTATAAATTTAAAAACAATTTAAATTTATTTCTCAATTTACTCATTATTTGTTGTATTTATTCTCGTCACACTCTTCACAATATCTTATTGACTAGCTAAAATGTATAAAAATATTTTCTTGACAATACTAACACATGGTATTCAAACCTTAGACATGTTGCATACATTGTTTAGTACCATATCAAAAGTCGTGTGCCATTTCAATTAAGAATTAAAACACCTGTTAAGCACCTTGTGCTCAGATGGCACCTCTGTGACTCCCCTCTAGTGAAGGTCACAGTATCAAACCCCGGTAGTGGGGTATTAACTCTTTGGTTTTCAACACTTTAAAAAAGTATAAAACATATACTACTTTGTAATAGAGTTAATAGTATTAAAAAAAAAGGATTAAAACACCTTGCATGAATAATTAATCAACTGAAAATGCAGAATTGGGGGATAATGTAAGAGTGATTAGGAAAGAGTAAATTTAAAAAAAAAAAAAAAACTATGACTGTCATCTCGGCGTGCCCGCGTGCAGTGCGCTATAGTGACAGGCGTGGCTGTCACTGGTGGTACATTATTTGACTTTTATTGGTGGGACCCATCATTTCTGAATTATCCCTTCACTTGTAGGAGAATTATTTCTCACATAACTCTTCCCCACATTAGCTATTATCTTGGGTGGGGAGAATTAATTCTGAAATAACTCTCAATAATCCAGAAATGTGAATGCTCTTAATTGGGCATATCAACGGTGGCCTGTCCTAGGTAGATTGTTCAACTTTATGATGAGAAAGTCAACCCTTGGGCATAGAGGGGCATCTTACAGCAGTTGCAAGAAGTCAACAGGGGTGTTGCTCCACAATTTGGAATTTATTTTTCTGTCCTTTTGTTTTTGTTCACTTTATTAATTTCTATCATTTTAGTTGAATATTCTGTTGGAGATATATATGAACACTGTGACTTTGGTTTTGAGTGGTCACCTTTCTATAATACACATCATATCACTTTGACTAGTATTACAACAGTATTGTGTTTTACAATATTAAACTACTCATTATTCCATTCACAATATACCTTTTAAAAAAAAAAAATACATTAGACTAATCTTAAACTCCCAGAACTTCTGTTCAAGGGCGCTGAAAGAGGTAAATCGCGAGTTACCTAATCAATCATCAGTTTTCACCCCTACATGTACGTTGTGCACTTTGCATACAAGAAGTCTTTATCACCTTTGATTAATTTATTGAGTTTTGAATCTCCAAGACAAAATATACTGTTTTACTTTGATTGAGTCTCTGTATATGTATCCTTACAAACAATAATGACATGTAATTGTTTCCTTAAAATTGAACAATCTTTGTCTGAAATATATGTATGTTTGCATGTATCTAATGTTAGTGCTTTTCTTTTGCAGATTATATAAATGTTTTTAAAAATTACTACAATTGATACTGCTAATTATATGTAAGCAATATAGAATCACACGAGACCAATTAAAGCAAGTAAAGTCTTTATTGATCAAGGTAAAGGCCCTAAGTACAATCTACTTGGTTGCTCTGAGTACCGACTGACTGCGGTCGGGATTCTCTAACAACAACCTATCGATCGTCCAAAAGTCCTCTACACTGTAGCTACTGTGGGTATTTATAGCTGCCATGCCGGGGACAGGATTCCAGCCGTTCAGCATGTCCTCCACGTAGCCACCACGTGTCATCCTCCCGGGTGCCCTGCCTGTCGATGTAGAGAGCCGCCACGTGTCCTTCATCAGCTCCCTCGCCGAAGGGCTACCGCTCGGTGGTCGACATCATCACTCGGGCAACTCCCGGTCGGACCCCGACCGGGTTCTTCACAAGGAGCCCGACCTGTTACCTGCAAAGACAAAGAGAAAAGGACAAAGGCAGCTCGGTCGTGGTGAAGCTATGTCGGTCGGGATATTCCCTACCAAGAGCCCCCCAGCCCGGGCCTTTTTGATCGTCCGGGAAAAAACGGGACGGGATGAAGAAGCCCAACCGTCGGCCACTAAACCGACCGGCCAGCTGTCATTCCCTTCCTCGCCACGTGTCGGCCACCGCCGGCCTCTGCGACTGCAACCGTCGCCTCGTAATCAGTGCGGGTCGTGTCAAGCAAGTGAGCTTGTTTCCCGCCTAAATGCTCTCCTATAAATAGGCCCCTAAGGCCCTCAGTTGAACTTTCCTCACTCTTTTGCTTCAGTCGGTACCCTCAGAGAGTCCCGAGCAGAGCACCTTAGCAAGGCAGTCGAGCAAGGACCTTCAAGCTTTCATCCGCAAAGTTCCTCAATTCGGTGAGTTCTCAACCCCTCCCTTTACTTTGCGCTTTTATTTATAAGTAGAACTGATAGGCCAACTAACTGTCCCGGACGTTTTAAGTCCTTTACTAACCCCGACCGACCTTTAGGTAGATCGAAATGACGGATTCTGACAGTCAAAACGCCTCGATCGCGGACTACGACGAGGAGGTCGAGCACCTCAGCGACGAGGAGGTGGACATCATGTCCTACTCCCCCGAAGTTATTTACCGACCGGCGCCAGCCCCCGAGCGGGCCGCCGAACAAGACAAGTCGTCCAGCTCCTCCGGGTCGTCGAGCTCCAGCTCAAGCGGATCGGGAAGTTCCGGCGAAGAAGAAGAAGAAGAAGAAGAAGAAGGCACCACGTCGAGTAGACAAGGATCCCCGACCGAAGGCGTTAGGGAAACGCCTACCCGGGTGGTTGGGGACTACCCGGAAGCTGCTCAATGACGAGGCGCCCGGGAAAGTACTCCCGAGCCGGCCGAGGAAGACATAGCTGGGCCGGCCGCACCAGTAGTCGTAGAGTTCGAATTCTTGAACAGCGAGAATGTCGAACAGCAAATGAGCCAGCTGACCAAAGGTGAGGCGGCCAGGATTGCCGAGAGACTCAGGGGTCGGGTAGAGTTCGACACAAGCCGGAAGTTAGGGAATGTCATCGATCGGCATCGGGGCAAGTGGATCGGGATGCACTACGACTCCCTGATGGCCCCGATCGCCATTCCCTTCACCCCCCTTCTGAACGCCTTCTTGGCCTACTACCGGGTCGTCCCGGCCCAGATCTGCCCCAACGCGCACCGGATTATCGCCT